CCCTGGGGAGTGGGCCTAAGCCAGCAGGTGGACATCCCCCAAGGGGTCCCAGACTGCGAGAGGGCACAGATCAGGCTGAGGGACCCCCCTGAGTGCACAAATTTTTGTGCACCGGGCTTCTAGTCCTATATAATAAAAGGCTAATATGCAAATTGTCCCCTCAACTGGGAGTTTGACTGGGAGTTCAACCTGGAGTTTGACCAGGGGTGGGGATGGCCGGCCAACTGCCCATGGCCCCTTCCCCCTGCCAGCCAGGCCCCAGCGGCCTGGGCCGGCTGGACTCCACTTGTGCACGAATTCGTGCACCAGGCCTCTAGAATGTGTGTGTGTGTGTGTGTGTGTGTGTGTGTGTGTGTGTATATATATATATATCTGTACGCCCTAAGCGCCTATCGTCAGAAAGGCTCCTTGAGAAGAATCGGGCTTTAAACCCAGAGAAAGGGCAGATTTTCAAGTTACAAGTAACTGATTGTGGCGCTGCCATTTGCTCCCAGCAAGTGACAGTCTCACTGTGCTTACTGTCAAATCAGAAAACTTGTACTTCCCTGCAAGCCACCAGCAGAAGCAATAGTACCACACTCCAAGTGCTCTCAGAGGCACATGGCTTTTACCTTTTAACAACTCCAAAATGGGGATGACTGTATAATTAATGTCATGGCATCGTTTAATTGGCAGCCTTTTACTATAGTTTTCATTTATTTAATTTTTTATTATAATCACCAGTTCATTCTGTACATCAGATTATTTATTCACTTGGTTCTTAGATTCACTTGTTGATAGATGCATGTTTGTTGTTCACAATTTGTATCTTTACCTTTTTCTTCTTCCTCTTCTTAAAGGATACCTTTCAGCATTTCGTATAATACTGGTTTAGTGGTGATGAACTCCTTTAGCTTTTCCTTATCTGTGAAGCTCTTTATCTGACCTTCAATTCTGAATGATAGCTTTGCTGGATAAAGTATTCTTGGTTGTAGGTTCTTGGTATTCAGCACTTTGAATATTTCTTGCCATTCCCTTCTGGCCTGCAAAGTTTCTGTTGAGAAATCAGCTGACAGTCGTATGGGTATTCCCTTGTAGGTAACTGAGTTTCTTTCTCTTGCTGCTTTTAAGATTCTCTCTTTGTCTTTTGCTCTTGGCATTTTAATTATGATGTGTCTTGGTGTGGTCCTCTTTGGATTCCTTTTGTTTGGGGTTCTCTGCGCTTCTTGGACCTGTAAGTCCATTTCTTTCACCAGGTGGGGGAAGTTTTCTGCCATTATTTCTTCAAATAGGTTTTCAATATCTTGCTGTCTCTCATCTTCTGGCACCCCTATTATTCTGATGTTGGTACGCTTGAAGCTGTCCCAGAGGCTCCTTACACTATCTTCGTATTTTCGGATTCTTTTTTCATTTTGCTTTTCCGGTTGGGTGTTTTTTGCTTCTTCGCATTTCAAATCTTTGGCTTGATTCTTGCGCTCCTCTGGTCTGCTATTGGGTGTAATATTCTTTATTTCAGAGCGTGTATGCTTAATTTCTAGTTTCTTTATCATAGCATCGAGGGTCTCATTAGTTTTCGTGAGGCTCTCCAGAAGTTTATTGCAAGCCCTCAAAATTGCGTTTTTTAGCTCTATATCCTCCATTTCTGTCATGTTTTTTTGTCTCCGCATTTTTTATGCTTTCTTGGTGCACCCTCTAGTGGTCTTTGTGCGCAGTCTTGTTCTAGTTGAGCCTTGATTGTTGTAGTTAATACTAGAGGGATTTGACCACCAGGCCGACTGGCTGTGTGAATCAGCTGTGTCTGCCGCGGAAAACTTCTGTCCTCTGGGGAGGTGCTAATCTAGCCTTTGCCTGAGGCGATCTGGCAAATGGCTCTGCGCAGGGCTTGGGCGGGGCGGGCTCAACAGGGCGGGCGGGCGGAGGGAGCGGTTATGGCCCCTCTCAGTCCCGTTCCCAGAGGCTCTGCTTCTCAGAACCCCCGGAACCGCTGCAAACCTCGGAGGGAAAGCTGCCTTCCAACTGATGCCAGACACTCCCGCTTCTCCCGTTTGGGTCCGAGTCCCCAGCGATTCGCCCGTATCTGGAGCTCAGAGTCTGAGACTCCCCCCTGACCGAAAACGACAACCGCGCTCTCAGCCACCAGCCCGCTTTGCGCGCGCACCTCCGCACCTGAGTATTTTCCACACTGCGCCTCCTCTGAGCCTCGGTGTGCTGTTATTTTTCCTTCTAGTTGAAGAGTCTCTCCTCAGCCAGCCTTCCTGCGGTTCTGGGTGATGTCCGTTCCGTCTTTTAGTTGTAATTTTGAAGTGGTTGTTTGCGGCAGCAGTCTGCGGTGTTTACCTATGCCGCCATCTTGGTCTCCCTCTATTTAATTTTTAATGTTTGTATTTTTTTATTGATTTCAGAGAGGAAGGGAGAGGGAGAGAGAGATAGAAACATCAGTGATGAGAGAGAATCATTGATTGGCTGCCTCCTGCACGCCCCACCCTGGGGACCAAGCCTGCAACCTGGGCATGTGCCCTGACTAGGAATTGAACCGTGACCTCCTGGTTCATAGGTCGACACTCAACCACTGAGCCACCCTGGCTGGGCTGTTATTGTTTTTAAAAGTTCTAGAGACAACGCACACCCTCCTTTTGCTTGTGTCTGGAGGGGTGTGGGGGACCACGCCCACTGCCCTGCTCTGGGCATCTGATTAGCGGAAGTAGGTACCCAAGGCCACCAGCTAGTACAAGACAGAGACAGGATGGAATTCAGCTGTCTGCCTTCAAAGCCTGGGTTGTTCTACTCCTTCCAGCACTCTCCTTCGAGGGGAATTCAAAGGAGACTTGAAATCCTTTGACACACGTGAGAGCTTCACCATGTGAAAACGCTAACATGGTGTCTCGGGGTGGTGGGAACTTTAAAAAGTTTTCTCTTGTTTCTTGGTATCCTCTAATTTTTTTTTTCAGCGAACACACAATGCTCATCCGGGGAGCGAGGCTTGGTGTGGGTGACTATGTGAGCACCGCCCAGGGACAGGAAGTCCCTCAAGGTGGCAGAGGGGGAGTTGGTGGCTAATGTGCTCGCACGCAGAGAGCAGGAGGCACTTCCACAGCCGAGGATACTGGAGGGATGACCTACCACTGACACAGAAACAGCGGGAGCCCAGGAAAAGGAGCTCGAGGGGACGCCGGCTTCTCTCCTGTTACTGGTGAGAAGCCACACCCACTAGAAACATTTAAAATAAAACATGGATCCCTGACTCACCAAAAGATCCTCCATCTTCTGAGTAGGCAGAAGCCTTTATTCGATAAAACCTGATTTTTTTGGGAATCCTGTCCGTAGTGTCCCAGAGCCTCAAGGTTATTTTGTGGAAATTGATTTTCTTGAGTAATTCCTTTGTCACGTTGATGTTAAACCTGTGGGTCCATGACACCCAGACTTTGTTTCCTTCCTGACGTGGCTTCATGGTCTGTGAGGAAAAATACCAAGAGGCTTTCAGGGTGAGGCGCAGCAGCCCAGAGGACCCGCCTCTGCCAGCCTCCCCGCACTGACAGGGAGGCCGGGCCCTGCTCTCCACCTGTCTGGCCTCTGTGTCTGGCTCTTTCCCAGGTTCCAGATCACACCGGGAAATGGATGTCATGGGCTGGGCCCTGTCACACTCTGGGTTCCTTGGAAAAAAAATTAAGTTAAAGAAATTACCTACAAAAGAGTGTCCTTCCCAGTGACTACAATCCCAGCTGGACCGCAGGCAGGAGTGTGTGTGTGTGTGTGTGTGTGTGTGTGTGTGCGCGCGCGCGTGTGCAGGCAGGCAGGCAGGTGTGCACACATTTCCTCACATGCACACAAAGAGAGAAATTGCAGGAGCTACAAAAACCTTTGAAACACTAAACAAAGTACAAGGTAAAAATATCTAAAGAAAAAACCACGTAATGGGTATTATGAGGTTAATGCAGATTCTCATTCGGTAGGTCTGGGGCGGGGCCCAAAATCCTGCATTTTTAGCAACTTCCAGGGGAAACAAGTACATTTTGTGTAGTGAGTATTGGGTTGTATGCTATATGGGAGGCTACATACACACACACACACACACACACACACACACACACACACACATGCACACGCACACACGCACACCTTTACTCCCGTATCCATGAACAATTTGACCACCGATGGAAACACCACCATGTCCATGATTTTAGGCTCTTTATCTTCTGGCAGAAGGAAATACTCAATGTGGTAGATACGATGACCCTTTGCAACAGATTTTTCCATTTTGGAGTGTTTCCTGTATTTTTCGAGCAAACTTACGAATTTTCTCTTCGGACCTAGAAGATACAGATTTAATGAGTCTTGTTTTACCCTGGCAGTTCCCACACCGCCTGCCTGGCCTGGGGGGCTCTCCTAGCCAGCAGAGTGACAGGCTACTCTGGACTAGGACTAGGCACAAGGGTGCATGATTTCAGTGCATGACTCTGAGAGTGATTGTCTCCTTATATTTTTTCACCGTAGGCACTGCACCTGCCTCACCCTAGTCTCAGCAGTAAAGTAAAACACAAATCACAGTACGATATGACTTGTGCCACCCCGGCAGTATAAGGCAGGTCCTGAAGAACAGCAGAGGAGGCTGGGGTGAACTCTGCTGGGGGGAGGTGGGGGGAGCCCCTGAGGGGACCTCAGCAGAGTCCGGTAGAAGGGAAGCTGGCAGGCATCGCAGGCAGAGGGCAAAGCCCAGCAAAACCTCATGCGTACAGCTGCACAGCGTGGGGCGGATGGGGAAAGGATGCAGAAAGTAAGGACGGGCTTCACCAGAGATTAGGGCCTCCACTGCCTGCCCTTGCCCTCTAGGCTAGCCTTTGCACACCAGGAGAAGTTGCTTTCGAAGCTCCATAAATATTTAATCTAAATTTTATCCTATAAAAACGTGATGACTATATTTAAAGCTGAAGTTTTAAAATCTCAAGTTGTTTGTTTTTTTTTTAACACTCAGGAGAACCCAGGAGACCGCTTCTGAATTAATTGTGTGCCACCAGCAGAGTTAGCTTTTGTGCAGAGTTTGGAATAAAGGTTGGTAGGCATTAGACTTGCTTGGGAAGGTGCAACTAATCAGAAAGCTTGCTGCGTTTCTCAGGTCCGTGTTCTGATTCAATCCAAGGATATACGGACCCTCCCATCAACAGGAAGAAAACATTGCTACAACCCCATTTGGTGAGAAATTGGACAGTATCTATAAAAAATATAAATGCATACAGTAAGTCCTCAATATCATTGATAGGTTCTGGACTATAAATAAAACCACATATAATGAAACCAATTTTACCATAGGCTAAGTGATAAAAACAAGAGTTAAGGTTTTACGGCACCTCATCAATGTTGTAATGAAATGACATTGAATGAAGCAACATTATTCAAGGGCCCACTGTACCGTAAGCAATTCCACTTCTTGAAATTCAGGCTACAGAAGTGCCCACACACCTGAACAGAAGGGTGCACACAAGGAGGGCTACTGCAGGATTATAACAGAAAACATTTGCAAACAAATGTTCACCAATAAAGGGTAGGATAACTTAGAAACATACTATTAGGTGTTTCAAACAAAATATCAGCAAAGTCAAAATAAGTACGCTCATTTCCTAAGACATCTAAGACACTGTCAATTTTTTAAAGCAAATTTTAGAAAAGTATTGTAGCATCTTATTTCTCTTAAAAATAATTTGTATAAACATTATAAACAAATTCATAAATACTCAGATATTGAAGGGAAAAAACATCAAAACTAGAATTTTATACCCAGCTAAGGACAAAGACATGTCCCTTAAGGAGGACATGTCTTTGGGTGGATAAAAGACTCTACAAAGCAAAATAAATGAACAAACAAGCCAGAAATAAATTCCTAGATACAGAGAACAAATTGATGGGCACCAGATGGGAGGGGATTGAGTGGAAATGTAAAAGGAATTAAGTACAAATTGCCAGTTATGAAAGTAGTCATGGGGATGTAAACCATAAGAAATAGTCAATAACACTGTAAATAATGATTCATGGTATCAGATGGGTGCTGGACTTATCATGGTGATCACTTTGTCAGGTATATAAATGTTTAATCATTACATTCTAAACTGGAATCTAACGTGCTGTTGCATGTAAGGAGTAATTGGAAAAATAAATTAATATAAAAGACTCTCAGACATGCAAGGCCTCATCAACTTTTGCTGCATCGAGATCTACTTTGTAAATGGCTTTTGAAGAAGCACCCAAATAAGAAAAAACAAGTCTAGGAGATGCTGTCGGAGACTTAAGGTTGAAGGTGATCAAATAAACACCAATTTTCTTTTAGTTGGTATTTGCCACCAGTCTTTTCTGGGCTCTGATATCAATAGACCCAAGATAAAAGCATCATAATGGATAGAGGAGGTCACCACATTAGAACAGAAAGTTCAATTCCCCAAGAAGATTGATCCGTTCTAAACAGGGGAGACACCTAAGCAAATAGTCTCCAAAATATCTGAAACCCACAGTTGACAACTACAAAGAGAATCGGAAATTAATCATCATGGTGTGTGTGTGTGTGGGGGGGGGGGTATAGTTTACGTAGACAAAAAGGGTATATAAAAGTGGAGTACTTTTTTTCTGCCCCTCATCTTGGAATTCAACCAGATGACTTGCTTCGGCCAATAAAATGTTAGCAGGTGGGAGGTGCCAGAAGACCGAGTGCGTGGTGACTGGGCTGGCCCTCTGCTTTTCCATAATGTGAATGTGTCTGGATCAGCCCACGTGCCCAGAAGGAGGGTGACAGACACGTGAAGCGCAGCTGAACCACTGCAGGGAGCTCGGGCTGCAGCAGCTACCCTGTGATCCAGACGACCAAAGGGGTTCCTGGTTGAAGCCAATGGATCGGGGAGCTTGTTTGGGTTTGTCACACAGCCTTGTGGCAGTAATAGTCCATCAATTTACCTTTACACTCGGAAATTCATACACCTGAGAATCTGCATTTTAAATAAGGAAACCAGGTGATGCTCCATTAGTTTATGGGACCCAAGGCCTTAACCTCTCTGCCATTTCTTCGTCTGCAAAAAGCAGATCTAACACCATCTACTTCTTAGGGTTATGGAGTGGATTAAGTATGTGAAGACCGCACAACCACTGTGGGCCTCCTAAAATTGCACCTTCTTTCCTGATCTTGGCTCCTGGAATCTACCACCCTACTTGGGAGAGCCGGGGAGGGAGCATGCGTGTCCTAACCTCCTGGCAGAAAGCCATTAGTCCACCCCCTTTATTTTATTTTATTTTATTTTATTTTTTTGATAGAGTGTTGGGGTTCGGCTCCGGCACTTACTCACAATCTCGGGGAAGGCCAGTGAGATGATGAATTTGCAGGGGACCACCTGGGGCACGTCAGCGTTTAAAGTGCTGGAGGACGCGGTGCTGCTGTACAGATGGTCAGACTCTGACTCGAGGGCCCGGGACCTGGCATTCATGTAGTCCTCCACATCACACTCGCTCATGGATTGGCAAAAGCTGCCCGTGGAGGACATGGGCCCCATGCTCTCCATGTCCTCATCCTCCCATTCCCAGGCTTGCAGCGACATGCTTGCGGCTGAGAGCTGCCCACCTTGCCCCACCTGGCTGGAAGGAAATAAAGGCACGTTTGTCGCTGCCCTCTGCTCCCAGGAGGTTAGCCATTCTCCCTCCTCCCTTCCCTTGTCCTGTGCAGAGTTGAATGGCCAAGGCCTCAGACTGCCGGGCATACAGTAGGCACTCAATAAAGTTAGACAATGAATGGCTGAACCACAGAGAATGGTCCTGGCAGAAATTCGGATCATAAGCAGCACCCGTTTCTCCGACTTGAGTCTCTGCCCTCCCCCAGCCCTAGCTGCATTAATTGGGCACTTCTGGAATGCCTACACCAGGGAAATGCATTCACCAGGAACGGAAGGGGTGGGAGCAGAATCCCCCCGCGCTTTCACCCAGAGGGGCCTGGGGTGAGTAGCAAACACGGCCCAAGGACAGCATGTGCAAGTGCCTGGCAGGTAAAGACGGGAGAGAACCCCCAGGCAAGACACAAATGGGCTTTGAGTGCTGGGCTCAAGACACAAGGAAGCCGAGGGAAATGCATTCACCAGGAACGGAAGGGGTGGGAGCAGAATCCCCCCGCGCTTTCACCCAGAGGGGCCTGGGGTGAGTAGCAAACGCGGCCCAAGGACAGCATGTGCAAGTGCCTGGCAGGTAAAGAGAACCCCGAGGCAAGACACAAATGGGCTTTGAGTGCTGGACTCAAGACACAAGGAAGCCAAACCGGCTCAAGTTGAGGAAAGGATGCAGCGTGGGGCAGGGGATGGGGGCGGGTCCCCTCAAGGCACCCAGAGTACCTTCGAGCGGATGCACAGACAGCAGCTCAGGCTCCGGCCCTGGCGTCAGTCTGCAGGCACAGCCACTGCGCAGCCTGCAGAGAGAGGAGGCCCGCGAGACAGGCGGGTCCACTGTGTTTGACAGTTGCTAGGAGACGGAGTGGATAAAGGGGGGCGGGGACTTCTCCCCTGGGGGCGGGGCTTCCTGCCTCAGCCACTGGCCTCAGATTCCTGGTATAGACAAGGTCTGGCAAACAGGTGTATCCAAATTCGGAGACCAGTTGGTTGAATCATTCATCCGCTCATTCCTTCAATCCTTAAAAAATTCCTACGCTGAACGGGAGCACCTATAATGCGCCTGACCCTTACTTACAGGATGGGATAAAGGCAAAGGAACCAATGGGCTTGGCAAACTCAGGTCCCCCATCCCATCCCAAACCTCTCACATAGACTTTGCATTCTGTCGCTGATGTCTTTAGAAGTGCATGGAAATTCTGTTAGGGATTGTGAGTCCAACCCAGAGATGAGGAAACTGAGGCTTAGAGAGGGGCAGGGATTTGCCTGAAGTCACACAGGGAGTGGGTGGCAGCACTGGATTGAAATTCAGACTGACTCCAAAGCCTGGACTCAGCTGTAAAATCCCCTTCCCCATCCCCACTGCCACTTTGATCACCCCTTTCACCCTGCTCCTGAGACACCCTGGCAGCTGCTCCCCAGGTAGAAGGCCAGAGAACACCCAAGCGGTGGGCAGAGGGACACATGGCGAAAATGACACTATGTGACTTCAAAGGCCAGGTAAGACAACAACCATGTACAGTTAAGTCCTCACTTGACATCATTAATAGGTTCTGTGACTTTAAGTGGAAGGAAATACAACAAAAACAATTTTATCATGGGCTAATTGATTCAAACAGCAGTTAAGTTCCTACGGCATCTCATCGACATTATAAGGAAATGGCGTTGAGCAAAATGACATTATTTGAAGACCTGCTCTAATTTTGCCTTGTTCTCTTGGGGCCACTCATCCTAGAAAATCCAGCCACCAGGTCGTGAGGGAGCACAGACAGCCACATGGAAAAGACATACATAGATATTCTGGGCAACAATCCCAGCTGACTTCCAGCCTCAACTACCAGACGCAGCGAGAGTGCCAGACTTCAAATGACCCCGGCTCCCAGTCTTTGAGCCACCCCAGCTGACACTGTGTGTGGCAGAAACCAGCTGCCTCAACCAAGCCCTCCCCAAATTGCAGAACTATGAGCCAAGTACACTATTGTTGTTTTAAGCTACTAAGTTTGGGGATGATTTGTTGCACAAGAATAAATAACTGGAACAGAACTCATATGTTTTAAAGTTACCGCCAAGATTTTATTGCATAGCTCAGATTTGGAACCGCTGCCCAGAGAGAGGTGGTGTCCAGGTCAAGACCCAGAGCATCATGGGAGGGAATGAGGGCAGGGGTAAGAAATGGGCCCATAACCTCATCTTAGCAGAGATGGCCTTGTTAATGGGCCATCTGGATGGTTTCTCACTGGTGTTGCCTGGGCTCACTCACTGGGCTGTACGCATCTGGAGGGTCAGCAGGGCTGGAAGGCCCAAAATGGCATCATGCAAATATCTTGCAGTTGGCGCCATTGGCTGGGGCACCGCATTTACCCTGCACGTGGCCCCTGACCCTCCCCCAGGCTGACCTGTCTTCCTCATGTGGCATTCTCAGGGCAGGGCTCCATGAGGGCAAAGGCGGAAGCTGCCTTGTAAGTGGTACAGTGTATGTCACCAAGACTGCCTAGAGAGAGGGAGAGAGGCTGTGTGGAGGAGGGCAAGATGACACCAGGGCCTCTCCTCTTGCCCACACTTCCCTCTGGGGAGGGATGCCTGGTCCTCTCCCTTTGTCCCACGTCCCTGCATCCATGCTTCTCCAGCAGTGGGGGAGCAGCTATTCCATGAGCCTGATCACAGTAGGCGCACCATTGGTGGCAGCACCAACTTTTATTATTATGTTGTAAAGACCTGTTGCTTTTCCGAGGGCAGCATTTTATTTTATTTTATTTTTAAAAAATGTCTGTGTTATATATATATAAGATATAGATGCAATTTTACTCTATTCTTAAATCCTGCTATTTACTATATATATTTCATCTAGTCCCTTTCCTTACTTCTATCAGCTTTATGATTAAATTCTACTACTTGGTTCTAGTGGGCCTTCCCATTCTTTCTGTATATAATGCAAACCCCCCCATCCCACCCCCCACAAAACACACACACACAAAACCATAGTCCTTCCACATAGATCTACATAATTGACATTTTTATGTATTTCTTTATAATAACTTTTCTATATTTTTAAACAGTTGAGGTCATTATCTAAAATTGTTATACTTTTTTTTAGTTTTCTGATATAAGTAATGCTGCTTCTGATATTATAAATATAAATGTAATTCTTGACCCTTCTGAATGCACTTTTTTATTTTTAAAAATTTGAAATAACATTTAAATTTTGAAACACTCAACAGAAATGTTGAAAGTACAGTTCAAAGAATTTTATTTTCCTTACTCATTTGAGGGTAAGTTGTCAATTTTACACCACATCACCCCTAACTATTTCTTTGTTTTTCCCTACAAATAAGACTACTTTCCTACATAGCCCAAATCCAGAAATTAACAATACCACCTAATAATACGTAGTCCCCATTTAAGTTTGGCCAATTGTTTCAATAATTCTTTTATAGCAAAATTCTTTTATAGTAAAAGCATCTGCACATCCCCTACTGGGGATCGAGCCTGCAACCCGGGCATTTGTCTTTAACCAGAATCAAACCAGGGACCTTCTTTCTACAGGCCGGTGCTCTATCTACTGAGCCAAACCAATTAGGGCTCAGATGTCTTTTATATGTTAAAATACTTTCCCATCACAAGTGATATAACAAGTCATGTTTGTCTTTCTGAAAATTTGTCACAGTCATTTCTACCATTCCTGCATTGATCACACTGGTTCACCTGTTATGACTTAGAAGATTGTAGTCGATAGTCAACACAAGCCAAAGTAATAAATGTGCAGTTGGCTCATGTGAAACCCATGTAGACTCATGTTGTGAATAACAGGGAGAAGATTTATGGTAATAATGTAACTGAAAGTCACCTACAGCTGCCTGCCACCTTGAAAGCCAAACTCGTGAGACAGATATTGATGAAAAAGGAAAGTGGTTTATTCAAGTGCCAGACACTTGAGAAGATGGGGGACTCTTGTTGCAAAGCCCATCTTAACATCTCAGTGCAGGCAGGGATTTTTATAAGGAGGGAGAAGGCAAACAGGACAAAGGTATCAAGGTGAGGGGGTTGAAAAGTTCTCTATGTGCAGGCCAGCACAGTCCATTCCGATAAGGATCTTGAAACTGGTCGAGTGATGGGCTGGTACATGTCATCCTGGTCTTGGTCATCTTGGTTCTACATCATCCTGTTCTATGGTTGAAGGTCAACAAATCTCCTGGAACTGGGATGACTGAAGGTCACGGTCTGTATCTTCTGAAGTTGCTCCTAGGATTCTCATACAAACATGCTGCTTATCTAAAAACTACACATTAGTCAGTCAGCATTTATAGAAACAATGTCAAAAGAATGTCAAAACTTATAAATTTTCTTTCATTTCCATGGAAGTTAGAGTGTTGTATCTGAAATATTTCAGAAAACTAGAAAAATGTAGGCTCTAGTCTAGGTTATGGGCGAAAAATAACATTTTACTGACAATTCACTGAATTAGAGTCTAATACCTATAATTGTGTTCTATAGATTTTATTGAAACTTGTTTTTTTAAATTATTCTTATTTTCATTATAGTAAAATTAAAACCAATTCATTTAGTGTATTAAGTCCTGTTTCAATTTAGCCTCATTATTTGCATAAACATAATAGGAAGAGCTATTCATTATATAGGCTTTTAAAAATCTGTTTTGCTAGAATTTCACAAGAAATTTTCAGATTGAACTTTAAATAGCCTCTCAGGGCAAAAAGCCAAGCCACACAGTTGCCATCAGGCTTTGCCTGTAATACCTACAGGTTTTGGAAAACTCCTCATGTTTTCAAGTTCACCAAAATCTCTTAAGGTTCTTTCCTTGTCATTTCCCAGGAAAGTTACCAGGACATTTTTCCAAGTGACTTTTCTTGGCTTTAAAGTCAATCTTTATTCTTTAAAGTTTTTTGCTGACATTTAGAGTCTAAGCATGACTTTTGCAAACATAACATTCC